TAAATTATTTTTTAAATATTATTTTTTATTCATTACGATGGAGTATCTCTTATCAATCACGAGAACTAATATCTTATCTTGAGAATTTGACGACCATCAATCACTTTTCAGCTTGAGCTTTTTTTTTCTTTTCATACACAAGAATTAAAATATAAATATTATAATTTATTTCATACGATTAATTTTTTAAATGTTAAATCGATATGAAATAAATAAATATATATTCTGATAATTCAAATATAACATTATAATAAAACAAATTCATTGATCCATAATATTATACATTAATTTATTATAAAATCACAAATTTTATAATTTTTAAATTAAACAAACAGTATTTCCTAAAACAGCAAAATAATCATCTTCATGAATTTCAAACCTGCAAAAAAAATACCCCAAAAGAATAGTAAGTACTAACAATAATAAAGTAATTGGTATTTAAAAAAACATAATTACTTAAAAAGTTAACATACAAATATTAATATAAAAGACTTCAAATATAAAAAAATTCATAATTTACCGAAGCATTTGAGGTGCTAGATAATTCAATAGATGATAAATTAATCATTTAAGGTGCTAGATAGGTCATCATGATTGAAAAAAAAAATATCTGCAAATGACATAAACAACAATTTCACATAATAAATAATTTATTTTGTTTGGAAGTCAAACATATCTCGTTAGACCACTTTCCTTCAAAATGTGGGAACCTCGCATTTAAAATAAATATTTGGGAGGAGAAATATAATGTTAGATAAAGGATCACTTTTGAAACAAATGCCAATAAGATACATGATAAAAAAAAATCTCTTTTTATATCTTTTAATCAAATTATACGCTTTTATAATAATCTTGTTCACATATCCATCGTTTGCTGGTTCAATCTTCTATCAAGAAAAACTTGGATACAATTTCGTAGTACTACAGGAAATTACAACTATAAAACCATAAGCAAAATATTAGATACTATTGACAAACAATAGTCTCTTTTTCATGAGAGTAAGTGTTCAATATAAAAGAAAAATAAATTTAATGTACAATTTAAACTCACGTTTTTATTTTGAAGTTTCCATTCTTGACGAGACAAAGAACTATAAGAGTTTTGTTGTTGAGGTGAACCAAAGTATTTGCGAAGTATCTGCAAAAACAAGACCATGAATTATTAAGATGACCATCAATTAGAAAACTCAAGATTATAGCATGGCAGTGGCACTATTCAAATTAGCATACAATAATGCACTGTTTTAGAGAAGATAAGAAGAAAAGAAAAGAAAAAAAGATATTAGAAGAAGACGCACTAGGCACAACAATTGCATAAACAATTTAACACAAATTGGAAATATAAACAACCATGAACGTGAAGGAAGTTATCATAAACGTGACCTTCTTTTTCTCTCTTTTTTTGTTTTTCTAACTTCTCTACCTTTTTAAAAATATATAAAAATATATTAAAAAATAATGATTAATTTCTTTTCATACTTCGTAGTCTCTCAAGTTAACCGACCCTTTTAAGTTTATTAAATTAAATATATAACTACTATCATTTTAGTATGTTTGATATACAGATTTAATTTTTATTTTATAATTAAATTTAAATACATAAATTATATTATAATTTTTTAATTAAAATTTATAATAATTTTTTAAAATGTAAATTGTACTAGTATTTGAATAGGCTAAATATTTATTATATTACTAAAATTTTAATATATAAATATTTTTAAACATATAAATGATATTTTAGATATATGATAAATAATTTATATTATAGTATAATTTTTTTCATTTATTGATAGTTTATTTTAAAATATTAAAATTTAGTTTATAAATAATTATAATAAATAAAAATCAAATTAGATACAAAGCTAAAAAAATTGAATTAGATAAAAAGTGAAAAAAAAATCAATGTAACTATTACCAATTATTACATCATCAATAATACAATGATACAAAGGTAATCAAATTATTCATATCTTAATATATTTTAAAAAATATATATTATGTCAATTTTGATATATATGAATGAGATATCAAATAATTTTAAATCTATATCAAATTTTTATATGTAATCTAGGTGAAAGAAACTTTCACTTTAGCTATAGGTTTTGATAAAACATTATTTAATTAAAAGTTATTAAACAATATAATAATTGATAAAAAATTATTATTATGGTGTAAATTGACTTCTCCCCTATATATAGAGAGGATTGTAATTTAAAAATGAATTTACAACATAGAAAAAATACATAAAAACGTTATCATCATAAAAATACAGTTAAAAATACTTTTTTTAGACACTAAAAAATCAATCGATCTAGATAGTCATTCTAGTTTACTAGCATAAAAAGACATTTTATATCTCAATATATTTCATTTTAAAATAAAAAAATGATAAAAAAATAATTGAAGGTAAATATGTGTGAATGATTAACAACTAGAGATAGAGTATGAGCAATTTTTAGTTATTGCTTGAAAATATTACAAAATTGAAAAATAAATTTATAGAGAAATAGAGTAAAAAGTTATGAAAACTAAATAAATAAAAGTATGGGAGAAAATAAGTGTTTTAAAGTTAAAGAACAAAAACATTAACAGAATGTGTACACCAAAAAGATGATGGAATCATGACAAAAAAGATAAGAAGTGACACATTGAAGGATCGAAGAGGAATGGGTTAGTCATGAAGACTCTAGGAGGATTGAGTCTATTTTTAGGTTAGTGGGTCTTAGCTTGTCTTGTGTTATGGGTCACTAACTAAAAGTCCAATACCTCCCAAATACATGCTTGTATATAGTCTCTTATCATATATTACGTGTCATATTTTTGGCCTTGTATTTTAGGCCTAGTAGAATAGGATTTTGGGATCATAGGTCTTTATTGGGCCTGTTTTGGGCTTAGTGGGTCTTAGGTCTTTTGGTATCTAATATTGAGTTTGTTTTGCTTCTTTTATTATTTCTTGATGTTTAGGATATGTAGGTCATTGTATTTGGGCCATTAGATTAAATTTTGAGGAGAAAAGATTAAATAGGCAAGTTAGTTTAAATTAGGTTTCTTAGAGCTTAGAACTTTAGGAATTCCAAAAATTCCTACTCTAGGTTCATCCATCTTTGTGAGCAATCACTTGAATCCTTGGCTCGAGTGCTTCCAACTCCAGAGGTTTAGCACCTTCTCAAGGTGTTCTTCAATCAATCTTGACAAAGGAGGAACTTAAAGAAAGATCAAGAGACTTGGAGCAACTCTAGTTGGTGACCTAGATCAAAATATATAATTTTTTATTAATAGTAGAGATATATAGAGAAATTATGTTGAATAAAAGACATTTTAGGAGTTATTCTTAGATAATAATATTTATTTTTAGAGATAAATACATATAAATTTAACCTCATTTCTTATACAACTAATTAAATTCGTATATATTTAACTTATTAAAAACTATTTAATAATAAAAGATATTATAATATTATTTTAAATATATCACACATAACTACACTATAAATATTTAGTATAATATGTTATCTTTTATAACTTATCTATTAAAATGAAAATTTAAATTTAAATATATTAATGTACTTCTAATTTTAATGTCCTAAATAATGAATAAAAGTTTTCTTTTGACAATAATGGCTTAGTCTAATCCTTGAAAAGCTAGAGCTCCAGAAAGAACTCCAGCGGCAGGACCAACAACTAGTTCAAAGACAGCAAAAGAGGGTATATGAGGACCCACACGGTTGCAATGAGATCAATGCCACCATTTTCTACCAAAACAGTATGTTAGGTGCTGCATATATAAGCCGTTATTCTTTTCCCCCCTTTCGATCTAAAAGGATTGAACTTTATTCTGAAAAATAGCTACAAAATGGACCCACCATTATCTCATATGCTCCCTTTGGTTTTTGGTAAAAATTAACACATTTCTTCTTTGCTCCCTTCTTTGACCGGAAGGTATGCAATGTAGCAGATCAAGATCATGCAGTTTTCATAATCTCCCAATTTTTGTGCTCTTATTAATCCTTTTCAATAGACAATAATATGTTGATGGTTTATAATTGCAAGTGATGGGCACTTTTCAATTTTCATATCTTAGTCTTACTATGGTTAACTTGTTAGATGATCCAAATATCATTTTCAGGTAGCGGAAAACCAGATTGTGTAATGATATTTACATAACTTTACTTCCAATCAGCAGGTGAGTAGAGGTTAACCATCAAATTGGCTAGAGAATATAGGTTAAAAATTAAAAGTTGATGTGTCATTTTCATTGGACAAGAGGATACGACATTGCATTATAACCATTTGAGTGAGAACAGGAAAATGATGGAGGGTGTGAGGACTGAGGAGGGAAAAAGTAAGAACAATACATGCTTTATAGTATATGGTATGGGATGGCGTGATAATAACTAATAAAGCTATAACAAAATCCTCTTTATAGTCAAAATGTAAAATCAAAGCACATACACACAAAAGGAAAAGGAAATAAGATATTACGCCTTTAATCATTCCTCTAACTAGACTTTTTTTTTTGTTCAAGTCTGACCAAATAGAAATATATAAACAAAAAAGTAACGGTTAAGATTAATCTCACATTCCTTGAAGCCAGGCTCCCTGTTATATGTCTAAATGTTTTGATCATATTTGTTTTGAGCCAATTTGCCTATGTTGCCAAATTCATATGAAGATCACAATCTTTCCATTCTGATAAAGTACAAATCTTTGAGAAGAAAATACAGAATATAAGCACCAATTTGTGAACAAAAACGAAAGTTGTTGGTATTAGACTTTTCATCAAGAGTTATTTATTTACCTAGGTAGTTAAAACTACCTAACTATTTCCTATGTCTGAAACCGAATAAACCAAGTGGAACTGGAACTAGTTACTTTTGATTGACATACTCAAAATTATTTACTTTGAGTTTTACATGTACACACGTGCCATCCGCCGCTACCTAAAAGGTTCAATATGAAGAGGATTAGGTTCCAAGTTGGACCATATGAAATCACATTCCCTCTCCCTACCCCCACCGAATTCTAGTGCCTATTTCTGTACAAAGCCAAATGCACTTACCATTTGCCCTTTGTGCTTTAAAATTTTGGCGCTTTCTGTCCTTTTTTCAACTCCATGTCCCATGAAGTAAAGTTAATGCAAGAATAAAAGGAAAGTAGGCACCAGGATATCTAGTACTACACAATATTCCTGACTTGAAGATCCAAGACAGATACTCTCCCTCCCATTGCAACAAATGGAATATGAATGTAGCCCTCTTGGCTGGGAATTCTACCACCAGGAAGAGGTGTGTTTGCTACTTTGCTAAATGCCTTGGTCAAAGTTAATTAAATCTCTTTTCTTTTCAATTGTTTTTGTTTATTTAGTATTGTATTGTGTGATTGTTGAACTAGCAGGGGCTAGAGGACTTGAGACATTCTCTTCTGTACACAACCTTGGAGCTAGATGCAACAATTGCATCAGCCAAGGAGGAGATTACCAGAAGAGAATGTGAGTTGATCCGTGTGAATGATCTCTTAAGCAGGGTGATGAAGGAGAGAGATGAGGCTGAAGCAAAATGCCAGAAGCTAATGCTTGAAAAGCTAGAGCTCCAGAAAGAACTCCAGCGGCAGGACCAACAACTAGTTCAAAGACAGCAAAGAGACAGCATATCAGAGAGTGAAGAAGAGGTGCAAGAAGTGCTCTCTGAGAAGCATTCTGCTTCCTCTGACTGTGAAGAAAACAGCATGAGCATGCCCTCTTGTGGTGGAAGTCTTATTTAAGTTCATGAATTTATATATCTATCATTCTTTTTTATAAAAAAGCTATTCATAATTTAAAACTTTCACATAGTGATAAATTATTAGTGCTTAAAAAGCTTTTAACTTTCTAAAGGGAGAAGGCTCAATACTCGTAAGACTCAAGTTTCACTCAAATTTAAATTTTCAACTGAATTTGTATATTTCTTTGATCAATAAAATATAATGTTATTTTAATTTTTTTCTATTCGAATAAAATTTCAAATTTACTTACTATTTTTGCAACAAATTAATTGTGCTAGTTTGACTCCATTCCAAATTTATTTATTTAATATCTATATTTATAGGCTACAAATAACACAATAATAAAGTTAATGTCAAATAAAATAATTTTAATTTTAATATATAATTAAAACTGTAAATTTATTCATTGTTATTCACCTAATATTTTAGTTTGTATATTACAAAAATAAACATTAATTTATTACTAGATATAAACTTAAAATTATAATTAAAAATAATAAAAATAATAATTTTAAATATAAAATTTATATTTAAGTTTATAAAATTTTAAAAATAATTTAAATTTTGAGATAAGATTAATTTTAAATAGAAATGAATATGTTTTAATAAAAATAAATGCATATAAATGAAAAATAACAGAGATCGATAATCAAGGAAAATATTTTTTTAGGTAGTTGCATAGACACTGTAACACCCCAGTTTTCAATAAAGTTATTATTATTATTATTATTATAATTATTATTATTATATGGTATTTGGTCATAATTATTTTAATAATTATAGAAGAATATTATTTTGTACGTTTTAAATAATTATTGTTTTGGACAATTATTTTGTACGTATTAAATAAGTATTTTTTATTAGCATATTTAAATAAATATTTATATGTTTTAAGAGAAGGTTGATTTTATATGATATTTTGTTATTGAAATTATATTATTATATTTTGGGTCAGAAATATATTATTATTATAGAGGAAAAATATTTTATAATATACATGTATTTATTTTATTTAATTATTTTGAG